ACAAGTTGTAACTCTGTGCTAGCAATCGCATCTCTCCCTGACGGTGCTGACCTGATGACGAAGAAGTATCCGGGACTGTTCTAGTCAATAGGCTGATGCTAGAAATCGTCATTAATACTATTGAAGAAGAGGAAGGCCTATATACGTTTGAAAAGGTCTCCCTAACGCTCCGTCCAAGTAGCGAAATCAAAGTCAAACTAAAAATATACAGCTAAAGGAGACTGCGACAAAAAAGGTCACACCATCTTTGTCCTAATATATAATAAAATACTTTATTATTAACTAAGCTACCCTGATGGTTTAAAATTCTTGCTTATGGTTATAAATAAAATAATAGTATCTTAATAATTTATTTAAAAAGCATAATTGTTTTATTATTTTGAAGAACATCTGCGCTTATTAAGGCTGTTCGGTGAGCGGTCCTATTGTGTGGGTGTGGCCACAAAGCCTGATAATGGATGATGACTGTTCCGGGGACGAGTTCATTGGGAGCTACAATAAATCAAATGAAAAATACATTACTCCTCGTTCATTTCAGGACTCTAAGCCTGTTCAATATACTCTTCCTGATATATTACATTATTTGCAATCAGAATGGTCTAAAATGGAAATAGAAAGGTCTCAATGGGAAGTAGAACGGGCGGAAATGCAGGTAAAGACAACGGTTGATGACTTTAAATTTTAGGCAAGGATTGCATTTCTGCAGGGTGAACTTAAATGCCAAGAAAATCTTAAAACAGACCTTGTTAGACGTATAAAAATGCTTGAGTACGCCGTAGTTCAAGAAAGAAATAAAACATTTAAAATGAAAAATACTGTTGATAACCACAATTCTGGCGTAAATACTCACTTAGACGAGGACGTTTCAAATAATCTTGAACGCAATAAGGAAGAGAGGGCTTTCTTGAGACGGTAGCACGCATTCTTTAAATTAATTCACTTAGTTACCTTGGTCAGATTGGTATTTCAAAGCAAATATCTGAGGCCCGTCAGGTTTCTGTCAGAGAATTGCTTGGTATTTCGGCTCCTAATATTTTATCCCGCCCAAAGTCGGATAGCAAGGAATTAAGTGAGCTTTATTTATTTGGATCTAGTTTTTTATCTTGATACATATGTTGAATTTCTTCTTAGGCTCAGTTAGTGCCGATCGAAATTCACTTCACTCAGCGCTTGCCAGCTTTGGATTTCTTGGGGAGGAGGAATCAGGGGAATTAATTAATCCATCAAATCCTAGTGCAGAAGATGTAATTCCCCTGTCTAAAGTATGCGCGGAACATTGAGTTTTAAACTTTTTATTGTGCACAAATTAATTTTACTAATTTACCGTTATAAGGAATCTGAATACGCTATTCAAGATGTTAATACTTCTGAGGCTTTGGCGGAATTTGACTTCATTGTTAGTCAGCATTTCGACGTGCCGATAAGCAAGCCTTCAAATGATTCCTCTGATGCAAACGAGGATCATCAACCTCTGTTATCGCGTCTCAAAGAGCAATATCAATATTCTAAACCCCGTAAGGCAATTACTTTCAATTCAGTCGATATGAAATGATATTTTATTGTTTATCTAACATACTTTAGTCCATAATACCGGCGGATCTATTTCACTCAACACATGGTTATCTGAGCCACTCTCCCCATTGAGTAGCGCATTGAACCTTCCAAACAACTCTGAGCTGAGGCTTTTTTCTGGTGGGTCATTAACAGACACTTGCATTCCCAATTCTCAAGCTCTAAGTAGTGCAGATTTTGATCTTGTCGTGGATGAACAACCTGCGCCCACTACTGGACGACAATTGATCATTTTGAATCGCGGTAATGGAGTTTCAGCTTCATCCATCGCACGCTCAGTCGGCTCAACCGGCACAATGTCATCAGCTGAATCTTCAGCATCAGATGGTGGAGCGAGTAATGGTCTCGGGCTTGGCGACTTAGCAGGTTTGACAGTGGCAAATGAGTCAGATATAACTTCCCGTGGGTCCGCTTGCATCAACAATAATAATGAGTCGATGTCTCCTTCAACTCCAGTCACTATGGATAGTCTAGATGGCGTCCCACCTCCCGGATTTATTCCAGTGCTCTCTTCCATTGAATCCGTTTCTGGTAGCCTCTTGGATACAGATTTAAAATCCCGTTTGGTGACTAATACAATTGCCACAAGTTGGGTTGCGAAATACACGCTTCGGAGTCATTTCGATGCTATAAGATGCGCTGTATTTCATCCAACAGAACAGATATTGCTCACTGCTAGCGAAGATCATACTTTAAAAATGTGGAATCTGGCAAAAACTGTGCAAGCCAAGAAGACAACCAGTTTAGATGTTGAGCCGGTAAGAATAGTTCTTTTTAGTTCCTTGCCAGTGACTTTTTTCTATTTTGTAATTTTCAATTTAGTGCCCATTGATCCATAAGTTTTGTTCTATCTTTACTTGTAAACCTGGCCTTCCATCTTAATCTGGTAAAAAATTACAATGGAATCATGGCTTATGACTACGCTTCTACCGAAGTACTGGTTAAGTAGTTTCCTTTGATTAATCAAAATTAAATTCTTGCCAGTGCAATATAATAGGAGCCGCACGATGTTCAATATTTAATGGGCTTAAGTGAATAATATTTTTCTTCCTTGAAACCATAGACAATTTTTTCATCTACTTGCTGAATCTGGCTTGGTATTGAAGTTGGGATTTCATACATATTTGAAAAATATATTTTGGCTAACTGATAAGGAGCGAAAATTGCACATTGGAATAATCGAATTTTTAGCACTCTTTAACTGCCTAAAGTATCACCACCATGATTTCACTTTATTTATTCGCCTACTCATACATTATATTTTAAAATAAATTTATAAACTTCATACTTCTTTCTCTGACTCACATTTTTTAGTTCATTGTTTAATTTGAGCCAATTAAAAATGTGCAAGCTTTCTAGATGCCTGATTTGTATCCTATGTTTGTAGCTTACATGTATTTATGTTGTATAATCCTTTTTTTATTATATTCTTTGAATTTCATCATTTAGATGTATACTTTTCGCGGACATACGAGCCCAGTGCTCTCGCTTGTTGTCTCTCTCTACCGTTCTTCAGCCTCTTCTGCCTCCGCCTCAATCGATGATCCCGTAAATCCCAACCGCTCCTTTGCTTCAAGTTCAGGTGGACTGGATGCCAACCCAAACGTCCCTTCCGCCTTAGGGGCGGTAGATGTGGCTTCTTCATTGTCCCTGAGTGAACCTACAACAGCAACCGTAATCTCAGCCTCAACTTCAACTATTGATGGAGAAGTCTCTGAGGCTGAGGATGGAAATCCTCTCGTAGTGGCGTTTTCAGGAAGCATGGATGGAGAGATTCGCGCCTGGAAATTACCAGATGCACGCAAGGACCCATATGATGTTTTTGACTCCTCTATACACGGTCCTGTGCTCAAGGGGCATAATGATGCAGTTTGGTCTCTGTCAGCGGCCGTGGGTTTCTTAGCACATTTATAATTTTTTATCGTCTGATTTACTACGCGCTTTTTGACCTTTTGTTCACTTATTACCAAATTAATGAGCTAGCAATCATAATTATCATTTTATTTTTAGTCTTCCCAGCTTTATAATATCTAAGGGGCGCTATTAGTTGAATCCAACCGTTTAAACATA